AGCATCAGTACAGTAGTATATCTACTACAGTTAGTACTGCAGAGTATACTTGTACACATTGAAGGTTTACAGCAGCATAGTAACCAATCAACACAGAGCAGTTACAGGAAGTGAAGTGCAGCTACTGTTCAACTGTCTCAGTCCTCTCAAGATGTCCTCAGATATTTATGCCAAACCAGATTTCTCAAAGAAGGTGAGATACAACAGAAAGGTGCAGGAGGACAACGTAGAGTGGGAAGAAAGAACGGTGGCTATCTACGAGAGTACAGACGATATCAGAGATGATCACACTGATCTTCAGTCACACGACGGAGGTAAGTGAGAAATTATGACAAATCTATGATGTAAAAAAATAATGTTTATCTTGTTTGTGTGATCGTCTGTTTGAATCATGTTGGACTAATGTGTGACCTCTGAGTTTACTCTCAGTTTGTAACACGTTGATTTCCAATCCCACAGAACTGCAGCCCATTAGCGTCTATGTTTGTTTCTATTTATGTACGTCTCTCAGCTCTGTATTAATAACAGGAAGAAGTTATTAATACTAATACTACTAATGTAAAGTCAGTTTAACAGCTTTTAGTTGTGAGTCAGTTGTGCATTTTAATTGTCCTTTAAAACTCTACATCTCAGATAAGTTGATATTTGTTTTACATCACAATAATAATTGGTCAACACAACAGTCTTTATATGATTTGTTAAAATGTTAATACTACATTTCACAGCTGTATACAGATGTTGAACAACCACAGATGAAGGCAGTGAAGCTGTTGACTAAAATGTTATGTGTGGGGAATGATAACATGACGCATGTGGTTTTCCTTTAATGAACCCGCTCTCTGTGCGCTTTGCCACTTTAGGACCGCACACTGAGAATCATCCTCCAGCCGTCCAAAGCAGGCCTTTCAGAGCTGCTGCATTTTGTCTTGGAGTGCTGTGCTTTCTGACCATAACTGGAATCATCCTCCTATACATACGTTGTAAGATAAAATACACTCCACAACTACTGACAACCAAATACTGAACCTGTTCACAATGCAGAAAAACTGCTGCAACTGGTCTATGAAGCACATTTATTAAATGTTTTCCACCAAAGTTTGCTCAGTTACACTAAAATGTACTTTCCAGTTCTCCACAACCAGATCTAAGGCTGCGTTCAGACTGCAGGCCAAAAAAAAACAGAATTAAGCATTAAAGGGATGCTTTGCAATTCTTATCCAATGCAGTTTTAGTTAAATTCAGTGAATATTTCCTCATGTCTGTCTGTTTTCATGTTTGTGATGATCCCAGCTGGTTAGCTTTGTTAGCTTTGCCTCAGCGGTCAGTCTGTGTGCGGTAGAGGAGGAATAGACGGAGCGTGAGCGTGAACGGGTGTCTCGGTGAATAGAGAGAAACGGGTCAGCAATAAGGCTTGTTCAGCAGTAAATGTACAGTAGAAGTTCCAGAGGCCGGTGAATAAAGACTGCAGCTTCTCCGGACTAAAGAGGATCTTACGTGTGCTGCTGCCAACTGTTGAATTAAGAGTGAAGGAGGTTAGCCCCAAAGTTAGCTTTGACTTCGTGCCACTAAAACATGCCCTCTTATTGAAGCTAACTTGCTCTCGGACAGCAGACGTTGTGGATTCTGCTATATTTCAGCAGAGTAGGACTGGTTACCTGGCAATGCGTGTCCAGGAGTTTGTTTGGCCGTTGGACTCAAATATCTACAAACTCTCTGCAGAATCACCTTTAAGGCCTGCAGTCTGAACGTAGCCTAATAAAACAAGCTGGAGGAAGATGAGACTGTCTTGTTCAAATGGTGAAGAGCACCAGCTTCAGACTTTAAAGGACAGGTTCTGTTTTGTTTGTTCATCTTCAAATAAAACTGACCTGCCATATGCACGCTGAAAGAGTTATCTGTTTAAAAGTACATTCTAACTTTCAGCTGAAGCTATTATGAGAATTCAGAAGTCTGAGTTAGAAAAATCAAGAACATTTTTCTAAAAACACATGAACTTTGGAAGGAAAACCTTCAATTTGTGTAACTCAGACTAATGAAGCTTCATTCTAGCTTTGCCTGTACCTAAAACATTTGTTCACGCGACAGACTGAAGATTTTATGTCCCATTTTGTTTACACTGCAGTCAAGGTAGGAGGGGAAAAACTTCAGAGCCATGAACAAAACAATCATTTTATTGATCAAATGGCATGTGAGTCTGGAGCTATTCTTTATGGCAGCTGAATATACCGCATTCAGGATGTACCCTTTCACGCCATTTAAGCACAGTTACTTGACTGTGTTGATCTGCATTTTGGTTCTTCATCACACTTGATACATGAGCGAGTCAGTTATCCAGTTGTTACAACATCTCCACATACACGGCAGGTTAAAGGACACTAAATAACTAAATTATGGTTTGAATTAGAGTGATTTTAATTATGCAGAGAAAGTAACTAAACTGTCTTTAGTTTATAGTGAATGAGTTGGTGTTGTTGAGGTGTTTCTTATGTTGTTTCTCAACAGTCACTTTGGAAAAAGACCAGCTGCAGACCAGATACGACAAACTGAACAAGAACTACAGCGAGCTGCAGGGACAACTTTTAGGTGAGAAAGGTTTAAAAACAAATAAGCAAATACTGTAATACACAGGATCTAACTTCACACTGGTTATCAAGCATAAATGTTTTCATATGGTCTTACTCTTTTATCTATTACGGTTTTCTAAAGATGAACATCAGTCAGTTACAGAGCAGTTACGAGACACTGAGTGAAAATCAGGATGAAGTAAAGCGGCTGAAGGAAAAAATTAAAGGTTTAACGGTGAACACCAACATCACACCATTACTTTAATTATAGTTCTTTTATCTTTTATTTCTGTTACAAATCAGATACAAAACCTGAGTGTATTTATAGAGTAAACAACAAGTGGCAGGAAAGATATTTACTAAATAATGAAACTACAAGTTTTATCAGTTTGACAGTGAATGAGATGAAATCCATCTTTTAACACTCATTTGAAATATTTTGAAATTGTCTTACTCTTTTATCTCTTGTTGTTTTTTCTCATGACACAGCAGTCAACATCAGTCAGTTACAGAGCAGTTACGAGACACTGAGGAAAAATCACAGCCAGTTACAGGATGAAGTAAAGCAGCTCAAGGACAAACTTGATGGTGAGAAAAGTTTAAAAACTAATAGTGAACACCAGCATCACACCAGTTCACTTGATATAAATTATAATTCTTTATCCTGTTGAACTATTTGCTATGTGTTTATTACTGTTAAAACCTGAGTGTATTTATAGAGTAAACAACAAGTGGCAGGAAAGAAAGATATTTAAGAAGAAAGTCAAACAAGTTTTATCAATTTAACAATGAATGACATGAAATCCATCTTTTAACACTCATTTGACATGAAGAGAAGTGGTGTCCTGAAGGATGGAAGAGATTCAGATTCAGCTGTTACCGTAAATTCAATGAGGAGAAAACTTGGTATGAGAGCAGAAGAGACTGTCAAGAGAAAGGAGCAGATCTGGTGATCATAAACAACAAAGAGGAACAGGTGAGTGTGTTTGTTACTGAGTGTGTGATCTTAGATGTAGCTGCCAGTGATCTGTTACTTCTGTTTTTGACCTGCAGCCAGTCGGCTTCCTATGACGATGCATTAGGGCCATTGTAGGTGGAAATAAAAAACATTACGGAGCGAAGACAAAAAACACTTGAATATTCTCTGAGACTAAGGTTATAAATTTGAAAGAGAAAACTTGAAAAACAATGTTTCAGTAGAGTTTTGCATTATAACCATCTAAAAACTGAGGAGCAAACTGGCTCTGTTTGGGTCTGTGAGCTTTATCGGAGGTGCTGAAGTTCACATTTGTGGTGAGATTTCTGCCTGAAAGTGTTTTCAGGTAGTTTTAGTTTCCACCTCCTTGTCTCATCCTAACATACAGTCCCAAACATGCTTCAGGCTAATCCCCCACACAGAAAAGGAAACATCCACCTGTCATCTTGCCACTCAGTTTTCCTCGTTGTGATTCACTGTAAACATGTTGTAGAAGGAATGTAGAAGCAGATCTGTGTGAAAACTGTGTTACAAAACATCCACCAATATATTCTATATAGACACCTAAAGTTAAGTGAAATAAAAGTGACAATCCACCAAAATGCTGAAAGGTCAGAAGATGATAAGAGACACCAAATATCTGGGGATTTCCACAGATCCAGGAGCAGCAGGAAAGAGAGCCAAGAGGTGATGTAATGCTTAGAAACAGAGCTATAAAAGGAGGTCCAAAACAAGGTGAAAATCACTTGTTACATGGCTTCATGTCAACTCGGGTCTCTGTTCTGGTAACAGAATGGGACTCTACTTTGCATCCATCTCTGAACCTCTCCGCTGAAACTTTTCTTTTCTAACTGCTGTCTATTTTTGTTGAAAATAAACATGTTGGTAAAAGTTCAAGCTTTTTTATCTGGCCTAAGTCTTGATTTTTTTTACACGGCACTGTCTTCAGTGAATTTAAAAAGATACGTTGCTTTTTATAGGATCAATAGATTTGAAAAGTACTTTTTACTTTTGATACTCATGAACTTTTAAATCCAGGTACTTTTTCACTTTTACTTTAGTATTTTACTGGATGACTTTTATTTGAGTAACATTTTAGTGTGGTATCTGTACTTTTACTTAAGTAGGAACATTTTGTACTTTTCCCACCACTGAACAATGGTTATTCTACAAGAGGAGCTGAATTCCATCAGTCCTCTGAGTGTTTCTGATTTATGCACCACTGATGAACTGAAAAGTTGCCACAGATTTTCTTTTTCCTTCAGACTTTTCAGACATCACACATGTACCACAATAGAATTACTGAATTATGAAGAGAGAAATGATTATTGTCTCTTGTCAACTACTAGAAATGTGTCACTGAGCTGAACAAGGATGGAGACTCCTGGATTGGTCTACGGGCCACACAACAAACAGGATGGGAATGGAAATGGGTGGATGACTCACCGCTGACAGTACAGTGAGACGCTTTTAAAGTTTTTAGTTTCCATCACAATTCAATTTGTTACTAAAATAAGTTTGTTTTTTTAAAATTAGATGAAAACAATTCACATTTTATTAATTTACAAAGCTGAATTATGTGTTAAACACGTTATTAAAAATGTAATTGTCATTTATTACTCACAATAAAAATGCTATATAATCCAACATCTTCCTTCAAATTGAAAATAATCAGGAGTGACAACATTTTATTTCTCCAACAGGTTCTGGGCAACAGGACACCCGCACAGCAACAAATATTACGCTGCTGCATGCTGCGATCAACAAGGAAATTGGACACAGTGCATATTATGATAAGAAGAACTGGATCTGTGAGAAATAGATTTCCTGTTTATCTTGAGGACAGAGGGGTGTGTAGTGTTGGGATCAACTTTGTCAAATCAGACCAACTCACATTTTACATTTCTTCAGTTGTTCATTCTGTGTTGCATCCTGAACAACCTGGATTACATAGATATTGTTCCTCTGCCCTACACAGTGAACAGTCTGGTTGGAAGTCATCCACACAACTACATGTGCACTTACCCTCTCTGCAGAGAGGGATATTACAACAGCCTGTTTTCAAAAAGCCTAAGATGTCACATACATGACAACAAGGGGAAAGACGGCTCCTTTCTGTTTCAGTGTTATTTAAGCCATGATCATAAAGGACAAACCTCATAGGCTTCTTCCACAGACCACTTACTGATGTAGTTACACTTGGGAGGAGGAAAGATTATGAATGTGTTTTGGAGAGACGGATGCATCTGACGGCCAATCAGATTTCAATTCATCTTTCATGCTTAGTTGCATTTACACTTTTTCCCCAGACAAAAGCTATCCAATCCTCGCCTGATGAATAGTCAGTATTAGTAATAGTCACATACTAAGGATGATATTCAATCATCGCTTTTGTTTTTCTTCATAAACTTACAGAACAGAACAATTATATGTTGATGTAACTAATCATGTATCTAAAGTTTATCATCATCATTGAACCATTAAAATTTCATGTCATTTCATCTACTAGACAGAACAAAAATAACTGGTCAACACATCACATTTCCTGTGTCAGAGATGCATGTGTGAATAAACTATATGGAGAACATGAATGCAGCTTCGCACAAATGTGTGAATGTGAGCACAAACCTGCTGTTGAGTGAAAACCATATACTTCCTCAGTGTCACTGACAAAAAACATCTTTATGTTTCAACTTTAAATATAGTTTTATGTAGTTTATGCCTCAATTAAATTCAAGTCTTCAATAATACATATGTTGTGGTGTCCATCTGTGTCAGTGGTGAGTCCTGCTGTTACTTCCTCTTTTGAAAGCTGCCCAACCCAAAGACAAACAAGCAGACAGTGAAGCTGTTCACTAAGTTTTCAGTGTTTCAAAATGTCTGCAAGGATTCTCGCTGCACCAGATTCAAGCTTGAATGTGAGATATACCGGAAGAGTTCAAGACAACAGAGGAGCGGGAGAGGAGAATCAGCTGGAGATCTCAGAGGATGAAAAGCATCACGCTGATCCTGGGTCACAAAAAGCAAGTAAGTCTGAAATGATGTTGTAAGAAGGACGTTAATGTACATTTTTGTGTGGCTATATAAAAATGTATAATTCATTAATCAGTTACCATTAACTATGGGTCATTATCAGGTGTCTTGTTTTTGTAATCTGGTGCCACAAGAGTCAATTTTCTTACTGACAGAATGACAACGAGTAACTAGAGAATCCAGTTTCTGAAGAAACTGCAGAGTGAATGTGGGCTGTTGAAAGCTGACGCTAAACTGATTGCTGGCTTGAATAATACCAATAATGTTTGAAAGATGTTGAAATTCTGACGCTATTCTGCGACGGCCGAGCGATAGCTGGCGTTGCTGAGCCTGTTTCTCTGATAACTTGAGATCCAGACGTCCCGTGACTAAAATCCTCAATCTGTTAGTGAAACAGACTGTGCAAGTCTGGACAATGACAGCAAAACTAGCCTGTGTGCATGAACATCCCCACAAAGATATCAAAACGAATTTATTTGCGTGTCAACAGTGAAAATTGTTGGCATGACGGCGAGTTAAGATTAAGTTTAAATGAAGTCTGTAGCTGAAAGTATGCAGAAATAGTGACATTTCAAAGTGGAGTAGTTATGAGGAGGATTTGAACCTTCTCTTCATCCACTTCAATACAAGAAAACGTCCTGGAAAACCTTGAATATTTTGGAATGTATGCAAGGTATCAACGAGTGAAAGGCAATAATGTCGTCATTGAGTTCAATAATTTGATGTTTAAATCAACATCAAACTGTGGGAGGAGATACAAGTTTTTGTTTGTAGAAGAACACAGGCTGTGAATGCTGACTCAGCCTGTCAGGCCGTAACCAGGGTTTAGAAATTAGTGAGGTCCAGACTTTGTTTCTTTTAATAGAGCTTATTTACAGAAATTCACACCAAAATCACACAAGTTACACAAACTAATGATCTATAATGAAAAACACAGGCCTACAAAGGGACCTGTTGGCAAAAAATACTTTTATTAAAGATGAATTTTTCTCTTCCTCTGTGTGTGTGTGTGTGTGTGTGTGTGTGTGTGTGTGTGTGTGTGTGTGTGTGTGTGTGTGTGTGTGTGTGTAATGAAGGCTTAAACCAGGAAGTGGGCAAAGCACTGTGATTGGTTAAGAACACACTAACCACAGGATGTTCATCAAGGTCTTTCTCTCCACAGCTTGGCTCACTAAAATTGTATAAAATAAGAGATACAGACAGACACGCTATGATCAGGTCGTGCAAACAGGGAAATCTTGCTATACTAATCTTCACAACATGTATCAGGCTAAATGTATCTGACAGCCTACAACTGGCATCACAGGACTTTGTTGGAATGACATGTGCAGACTGCATAATGGCCACTATTGTTACTATATGACAACATAAAAAACAGCAGGTTGGTGCTGAATTCAGAGGATGCTCTGGTTGATATTACAGCCTCATTATTTGACGTCAGCAGCTGGTTGCACTGTTTTGTCAAGAGTATAGGAGCTGAATTCATGTGATGCATGGATCGGCTCTGACTATAATGTAATAATCATGTGCATAAACCATCCACATGCCCTCAACCAAAGACCTATTTTTTTTCTTTCTCTAATTAGCTTTCCAGGTGTTTTCTTTAACTATTTACTTTAATGATTAGAGAGGCTGCTGTCAGTCATTTAAACGTTTTCATTCACGCTGTAATGTCACAGCAATAATAATTTAAGCAGCAAAATAAAAAACTGTAGTTAAAAACTTGACAGGTGCAGACAGAGAAAACTCTGCAGAGGAAACAGAATTTAACTTTAACAACCAGCTTCTAAAATGTTCAGACTTTCTGATGGAGATCAGGATTGATCAGGAGGACGGCTGCTTTACTCAGATTTACTGTCTGAACCTGGACTGTGGGAGAGACCTTCTGTAGAAGAACTAAAAAACATTAGTTAACATTAGATTCTGACCGATCCTGTTGGCGTGTCGGGAGATTTGATTATGAAGTC